GCAACCCCATGTGTGTCAGAGTAGAACTGGGCTCTGTAGGGTTTTCAAAGACTGATTTTTCAGAGGCAGGTCCCCAGACCTTTCTTTCGATGCATCTCTGGGTGGACTTGAACCTCCAACCTTTTGATTAGCAGCTGAGCACATTAACCACTTGCATTACCCAGGAACTCCATTGCAGCCACACACAGGGCAAAACATTCATGAATGTTCTAGAAGGCTCTCGGTCACTTACTGTAGACATATGCAGGGTACCACAGATCCTAAAAGGTCGAGGGTAAGAGGCAGAGTATCTGTCTCCTTTCCTGATGCAAGGTCTAAGATGCCATGAAGGTTTGGCTACATTCCTGCCAAGTGTGGGTGCCCTAGAGTTGTTTCCATTTTTCCCCTCCCCTTACAGGACTTGTGTGATAATAGTTTGCTCTGAGTCTGGGAAACTGTGTTGTGTTGAAAACGATAGTTGTTATTTCCCACAGAAAGCTTAAATTCTAAACTTTGAGGAATGCTATCTTCTATGGTGTTAATCCTGACTTATTTGTTTTTTGCCCGGTAGAAAGTGTTTAAAGGAGAACGAGGAGAATAAGAATGAAGTCTCAAAGAATTGCAGAAAACAGGAGAAATTTCTATCTCAACTTCACGACTGCCTGGATCTGGATAAAAAGGATGAAAAAGCATCAGATGAAGATTTGATTTTAAAGGTTTTAGATGCAGATTTAAAAGACTATAAATATAGTGGACATTCTGACATGTGGCAGAGAGGAAGTGCTATGGTCCAGTTTAGGGGTATCAGGAGAATTGAACAAGAGCCCAAGTTTAGCATTAATTAGCTATGTGACCTGGGACCAACCGCATCACCTCTCTGAACCTCAATTCCAAATCCTTTCTAGCATTACTTGGGATTAATTATTCTACAAAAAGGATTAATTATTGTCTAAAACATATTTGGGAGGCACAAACTGTTAAGCTCTTTACTACTAACTGAAAGGTTGTTAGTTGAAAGCCAACCACAGGTGCCTCGGAAGAAAGACCTGGCAACCTTCTTCCAAAAAGTCACAGCCTTGAAGACCCTATGGAGTGTAGTTCTACTCTGCAACGCATGGGTTACCATGGGTTGGAATTGACTTGACGGTAA